AGTGAGTGAGTGAGAGGGTGAGTCAGTGAGTGAGTGAGAGAGTGTGAGAGAGTGAATGATTGAGTGAGAGAGTGAGTTAGAGAATGATTGAGTGAGAGAGTGAGTGAGTGAGTGAATGAGATAGATTGAGTGAGAGTGAGTCAGTGAATGAAAGTGAGTGAGTGAGTGAATGAGTCAGTAAGTGAGAGTGAGTGAGTGAGTGAGTCAGTGATTGAGAGTATGAGAGAGTGAGTGAGAGTGTGAGAGAGTGAGTGTGAGAGAGAGTGTGAGAGAGTGAGTGTGAGAGAGTGAGTGAGAGGGTGAGTCAGTGAGTGAGAGAGTGAGTGAGTTAGAGAGTGAGTGAGTGAGTGAGTGAATGAGAGTGAGTGAATTAGAGAGTGAGAGAGTGAGTGAGAGAGTGAGTCAGTGAGTGAGAGAGTGAGAATGAGTGAATTAGAGAGTGAGTGAGTAAGAGTGAGTGTGAGTGAGAGTGAGTGAGTGAGAGAGTGAGTGAATGAGAGTGAATCAGTGAGTGAGAGAGTGAGTGAGTGAATGAATGAGATTGAGTGAGAGAGTGAGAGAGTGAGAGTGAGTGGTGAGTGAGAGAGTGAGTGAGTGAGTGAGTGAATGAGAGTGAATGAGTGAGTGAATGAGAGTGAGTGAATTAGAGAGTGAGTCAGTCAATGAAAGTGAGTGAATGAGTGAGAGAGTGAGTGAATGAGAGAGTGAGAGAGTGAGTGGTGAGTGAGTGAGTGAGAGAGTGAGTGAATTAGAGAGTGAGTGAGGGTGAGTGAGTGAGTGAGAGAGTGAGTGAATTAGAGAGTGAGTGAGGGTGAGTGAGAGAGAGTGAGTGAGTGAGAGAGTGAGTGAGTGAGTGAGCAAATGAGAGAATGAGTGAGTGTGAGAGAGTGAGTGAGTGAGAGTATGAGAGTGAGTGAGTGAGAGTGTGAGTGAGTGAGTGAGTGTGAGTGAGTGAGTGAGTGTGAGTGAGTGAGTGAGAGGGTGAGTCAGTGAGTCGAAGTCATAAGCATTTTTATGGACTCATTTAGTATTAAAATAATAATCATTTTTGTTTGGTTTAGGTACTCCTGGAGAAGCTGATTGAAGAATGCAAGTTCCCCCCCCCTCCAGAGGGAATTTGTGCTTACCATGGACACTGTACGGGCGTCAAAATCCAGATATATATCTCGGACCCTGACTTCAAGGTAACTGGTGAATGTAGGCCGGGACATTAGATTATAGGGGTTCGGAAGGAGTGCTCTAGGTGGAGGCCCCCAGTTCTCGGGCTTACAAACAGCTTTATTCAACTTTCCCAGGCTTCTCCCTGAACTTCTTTTTCCTCTCAAGAATGAAAACCTCATTCATTCCAGAAGATAGTACTTGATTTGATCCAGTGAAATCATACAGATAAAACATTTGGTCCATTGTAAAGAAGAATACAGTCGTTAGCTGTGGAAATCCAGATGCCAGTCAAGCTCTATCTGTGTCCCTGAGACTAGGGACATAGACTTTATGGGTCCCAGTAGAATAGTACTCCCTTAGGAGGAGATGTAGTGGAGCCCTGGTGATCTAGTGGTTACACATTGAGCTGTGATCCTCAAGGTTGGCAGTTCACAGCCACCGATAGCTCCAAGGGAAAAAGAGGAGGCTTTCTACTCCCTTAAAGAATTACAGTCTCAGAAACTCACAGGGGCAGTTCTACCCTGTCCCATAGGGCCAATATGAGTCAGCATGGACTCTGGAAGGAGTTTGAGGACGAGATGTAGTGTCTAGTTAGGCAGCCTGGCGAAGGCAAGCAGTTGGTGGTGTGTGTGTATGTGTGTGTGTACAGCTTTAAAGTCTGAACATGACATATTTTAATATCCCAGGGCTATATACGAGTCCTCTGTAGCGAGATCTGTAAACTTGAATTTCATACTAACTGTTGGAAGAGATTAAAAGCATTATGCTACGATGATAAACAGGACAAGGTAAGACATAGTGTCCTCTCTTTTGTTTGTTACATGTTAATTCCTCCCCTTCTCCCCCCAACCCCACACCCCCATCCCAAGAATCTTCAGAAAAAAGTATAAGGGATTATTATCAGTCCCTTCCTGAGCATTGTGGACATATTTGGAAAGTTTTAAATGAAAACTTAGTAGTAAAGTAGAACATATATTTTCATCTTTGTTTCATATAATGATAAAGGTTGCACCCATGGAGTCATTTAATATATTGTTTATTGTATAATCAGCCATTTTTAATAGTGAGTATGTTACCAGAAATGTAAAAATCTGATTTTTAAAATACAGATCTTACACACTGACAATTTGAGTGCATCAGAGATCGTTTTGTTTAATCACTTTAGAGTTTTTATTGAAATTGTGTGGTAATCTGAGCTAAAAGTTTGTACTGCTACTTCTCAGTGGGGTTTCTCTTATCAAGATAATGGTGTTTACCATTGGCTGCTTTGAGAGAAGGCCCGGTTTTTCATCTTATTTGCATTCCTAGAATTGTCTCTTTTCTTTCTTAGCTATCTATAGACTGTGGGTAGGGAAAGAAGGTGCTTTGTTGTTTTGCCTTTTGAGACTGCAAAGGTGCAGCTAGCCCAGTGTGCCTTTTGGAGTGCAAAGGAAGGCAGTTGTGCTGGCTATCGGCTCCTGATAGGATGGATTCAAGCGTGGTAGGAATACCTGTATGTTTTCATATTGTTACCTGAAGGTTCAGTGTGACCAAGTCTCTGCTGGCGGTGAGTCACTCACTGTGGGTATGTCTCTGTCTTACCTGTGGGCAATTCCTGCGCTCAGTGTTAACCCAAATGGGCAATACTGCTCCCTGGGGGCTCTGCAAAAGCAGATACTGTACCTACACTTTGTCCTGGATTAGAGGCTGTAGTACAATATTTTTTTAATTGCCAGGGAGGCACTGAGTGAAATCATTTTCTGAAAAGGGGGTGGTAAGCCAAATACCTTTGGGAACCTATCCCCTGGAGTAGTGGTTTTCAACCTGTGAGTCACGACCCCTTTGGGAGTCAAAGGACCCTTTCACAGGGGTCGTCCGATTCATAACAGTAGCAAAATTTCAGCTATGAAGTAGCAACGAACATAATGTTATGGTTGGGGGTCACCACCACATGAGGAACTGCATTAGGAAGGTTGAGAGCCACTGCCCTAGAGGTACACTCTCCCTTTAGTTGTAGTCCATGGTTTTAGATTCCTGTTGTGCATGAATCAGATTTTGGTAGTGAAGTATACATAGCCCAAATACCTTTGTGGTTTATACTAAGCAAAGTTCATTTCTTGCTTTTATTAACCTGCCCTACTGTTCTACAGATGTTGGCTGAGTTGGGGTTATAGCCACTCTGCTGTCTTCTTCGTTTCTAAATCGGGGTTGAAGAGTGGCCTTTACCTAGAATGTGTGCTTGTGGTAGACAGAAAGAGCAATGACCAGTCCATGAAGTGCTTCCTAAAGCTTTTGCTGGGCACAGTGTACAGTATGAGCCAAAGCAAGTCAGCAGGCCTGCCCTATGTTGCAAAGTGTATTCCTCCCGCAGGCAGGATCTGACAGTCATCTGGTGCTCAGCAGAGAATGCTACCTTCTCCCTGAAGCAGGTTTCAGACCACGTTCTGCCTCTTCCTGATGGTTAAGAAGCTGTACATGTGTAACATTTTCCCCGCCAAAGACATATACTGTTCTTTTTTAAAAACCATTTAGGACTTTCTAAATGCAAGTTGTCTGACGCCTGACTGCCATGGAGTCATTTATAAGATCACTGTGTACAACAGCAAAGGTGGTATGAAATGTGAAGTAAGTATCTCCTCGGGGCAACACTGCATCATTACCTTGCCAACCAAAGTGCCGTTCAAAACACAATGTAAGGTAGTGTATTGTGTGTGCTTTCGGTCTTGTCCATTTCCAGAAGAAAAAAAAAAATCACAAATTTAAGAAAATGTGAGAAATCCTGGGATGTAAGAATGAATGCTTTGCTCAAACGACACTCTCTCACCACTTCATTTCCTAAGAGGAAGAGGGTTTTTGTTTTGTTTTGTTTTCACTCTTTTATTGAGAACTTTGTTTTCCTTCTCACTAGTAAATTGTAGGGTGTGGCTTCTTAGGGAGCGGGAAACACGTCATGAGGGCTTACTTTTATTATCCGTGTCTGGCAGGAGTGGGTCATTGTATGGTCCCTGTATCTGCTCTTCTGCTGCTTTTTAATTGTTTTGGTCATTTATTTACTTTGCTCCTTCCTGAACTGTGTCTACTCTCTTATTCTTTTCTGTAAGTTGTTTGCTAATGCTTCCTGGGCCCTTTTGTCTGGGATGCCACCATCCCTGTTCTCTCTCGGATTGAACATGGCGTGTGCTTCTGGAACACTTGTTACTTGTGGTTTTGTGCTTTATGTCACGGGAGTATGAGACAAATTTTGGATGTCTTTGTTTTATTTAAAGTTTGAACACAAGGTCATAAAAGAAAAGTTACCTCCAAGACCTATTCTGAAACAGAAATGTACTAGGTAAGATTTTTTTTAACCATCAGTTTAATGATGTCTCTTAACAGTTTAATTCATTCAATGTAGCTTTCTAAATTATGCTGCTTTTTAAATTGACTTTACACACCTATATCCGAAGAAGTGATGTTTAGATGACTTTTGTGGATATTTAAAAATACCTGGGACTGTTAACTACCTCGAAACTGGAATTGGCAGCATTATTTGGTGGTTGGCTTTGTAAGTAAAATATGTGACATTTGATGCTGTGAAGTTACATGTTTGATGAATAAATTTGGCACTTAGTTATATATTAAGAGTTATATACTTAGCTTTCAGTTGTTTAAACTTTAATTCCAAAAGCATGCTTCCTCTCTATCTCTCTTAAGACATTTTGAATCAATGGTTGTTTCTTACTTTTGAAATGCTTGGTATATTGTGACAGTCTAAACTATTCTTTGTATCTACTTGTTCAAATCAAATAATTCCAATTCTTTTTTCTTTTCTTTTTTGGTCCTGCTTTTGTTCTTGTATTTGTTTTGTTTTTTTAAAGAAGAAAATTCTTCTTTTTTTTAATATTTATTATTTGTGACCAAGAAAAAGCAAAAGAAAAGATGAACAGAATTATTTGTTGGTGAACATCTACTATAATCAGATCGATCAAATTCTGATGTAGTAGGATATTACTAGGATATGAAAATATAATTCACTGTAAGATTGTTCTTTGAGAGGAGCATTTACTAAATGAAGTATCTTTCAGAAAAATTGTACTATTCCTGTTTTCATTAGTCAATCACTTATAACATGGAATTAACATCTATACAACCTAATTAGCAGTCACTTGATGATCGAGGCTCTTGTCTTCATAAAGCAAGGGCCCTTTTCTTTATCTGAGTTGACCAAGTATGTCAGTAGCTGTTGGGACTGAGCAGAAGATGCAGGTGAAATTGTCGAGTCAAAAGGAAAATGTATAACCTATTGCTTGGAGAATGGTTTATACCATTGGCAAAGAATACACTATTGAGCTTATAACAAAGATGACTTATCCCTAATTATAAATATTTAACAGCCTAGTGAATCTAAAAGAGAGAGAAGAGAAAAAAATGAACAGAAAGCTCCAGAAAGAAGAAGCCAAACAACTAGCAAAACAAAGAATGGAAGAGTACTTAAGAGAGAGTAACCTACCCCCCAAAGAAGAGAAGAAAGGTACGCAGAAGTAGGAAGTGGAAGGCACTCTAAAAAGAGTGTGCTCTTGTTTAAAAATATAAATATTCACATAAGTATGAGCATGTCTTAATGGTCCTTCTATTACTTGAAAATGGATTAAAATTTTAATTTTTAGTGTGGCGTTTCAGTACTGTCATTGTGCTCTATTACTTCCCAGTGGAGAGAGACTTAATAGAAAGAGCACTAGTTTTAGAAGCAGTTCTCAGGGGTTCAAAGTGTCACCCTGCCACTAATGGTAAGCAAACTCTGGCCAGTGTTTCTTTATCTCTGGTATGAAGGTGGAAATAACAGTAGTCAACCTGCTTATTAAGTGTTTGAAGAGCACTACGAATTCTGTTAATGGGAGTAAGTTTCAAATTGTTAAATGGGAGATGGTTTGGAATCACGCTCTTACAAGTGATTGTTTTCAAATAGAAAAGCAGTTTGTATAAGGTTCCATGAGGGCAACGCAGTCCAGTTCTCTGATGTAAGCTCCTCTCGCCATCATTCTCTGATCCACATGTGAAACTCTGTTGGTAATTTCACTTGTTTCTATGTCCATAGTGGTGTGTGTGTGGTTTTCAATCACGAATTGAAGTTTTCCTTATTTTCTACTGTGACTGTTAATTGTCCAAAATGAAGTATTTTACCACTCACTGTCTGTAGTTTTCATCTGGGCCAGTGGTTCTCAACCTGTGGGTCGTGACCCCTTTGGGGGTTGAAGGACCCTTTCACAGGGGTTGCCCAATTCATCACAGTAGCAAAATGACAGTTACGAAGTAGCAAGGAAAATAATTTTATGGTTGAGGAACTGTATTAAAGGGTCACGGCATTAGGAAGGTTGAGAACCACTGTGGTAGTCCATTAATGTTTCACAAACCAATCAAAACGATCTTTCCATTTGGATCATTTTTTTAAATTAATGTTTTCTTTTTATTTTTCATGCCTAGTGACCAAACATTTATTGACGCTAAGGTTTCGATAATTGATGAGGCTGGGTTAGGATTGTCGGGGGAAGTAGCCTTATGGAGACCTTATCTTAGAGGCATTAATAGGCTTTGAAATGTTCTATGACCAGTACAGAGTGATGGACAGTGTGCTTTCACATTTAAAAAAATACCTCCTTCGAAGGAATTTTAAGTTTCAGATTCCTCATTTTAAAATTCTGGGAGACACCGTAAAGGATAGTAGAACTGAGTCGTATCTTTTATGTGATTGTGGAATGGCACAGTATGCTTACCTTTATTGCTTCACTTCTTGCTCCTCTTTTTCCCTGCCTCTGACTGCTGCCGTTTTTCATTTGGTGCTGTAGAGGAAATCCAGGCTTACCAGTACCTTGATGACCGAATTCTACAGTGCCTCTTGCAGTACTCGCAGAAGATCAAAGCCGGGGTGCTCAATATTTCTGTGCTTATGAAGGAATTGCTTTCTTGGAAGGTCTTAACCCCAGATGACTACACCGCATGTTTTTCCAGCAGAAATTTTCTAAATGATGCAGTGGACTTTATCATTCAGCTTTTGATTGACAAAAGTAACCGCGTGAAGACAAGAAAATTCCTCCATGTTCTGAGTGAGCATAAGGAAATAGATCCCCAGGTTGCCTCCTGGATCGAGAAACTCAATGGCTTTGGTAGGTCACTTTGCCCTGGAGAAGGGGTCCTTAGCCGAATCGATGACTATAAGCCTCTGGGTCCGCTGTCATCTTCCTGTGCTTAAAATCCCCTGGGGCACCCATAGCTCCCATGCCTCCGCTCACCTGAAGGGTTAGAGGTTTGGGAATCCATCCAGAGTGGCCTCACAGGAAAGGCCTGATCCTCCACTCCCAGAGCATCACCACGAGCTACAGAAAAGCCTGTGGGCACAGTCCTGCACTGGCACACGAGGGGCCACCACGGTGAGCTAGACTCACTTGAGTGGCAATGGGGGGAGGGGGGTACTGTCATTTATGATTTTTAAACTGTAATAAAGTTAAAATAGTATATATCCCCACCCACAATTTTTAGGCTATATGATATACAGGCTACAATATACTTTTTCCAAAATGGCAAACACAAGAAAGTTAAGCCAGCAATATCATAACAGAAGTAACAATATGTTATGCTAAATTCTCTGTAGCTGTGTAAGTTGTGAATATTTTAGGCACCAAACCAGAAAAGCCATGCTTCCGTTCAGTTGCTTCTGACTTGTAGTCACCCTGTAGGGCAGGCACGCACAGCAGTCCTATGCTAAGACACCAGTATAGGTGTCTCATTGGATTTCCAAGGCTGTCATCTTTGCACAAGCAGACTGGCCCCATCTTCCTCCTGCAGAGGGGCGGGTGGGTGCAAAGCACTAGTCTTTTGGTTCATAGCTGAGCTTGTGGCACCCAAGTCACTGAGACTCTTTATGAAAAGCAAGTAGTTCCAATCCTTGTGATTCAATCCTTGTGAGTTCCTTCTCATCATCAGTCCATACAGTACAGTCACATCAGGTAGAGATTTAGCATGAGAAAGGTCAACTTACATGCTCAACAAGACAAAGCAAGAAAGCATTAACACGAGGGCAGAGCCAGTCTCTCGGTGGGCGTGGGCTGCCAGCCTTCCTCACACAGCACACGTTCTCAGGTGAGCCATTGATAGTTGCTGTTGGGTCAATTCCAGCTCTTGGTGACCTTGAGTTAGAGAGAACACTGCTCCACAGGGCTTTCTTGGCGGTAATCTGAATGGAGGTAAATTGCCACACCTGTTTTCTGTACTACTGCTCAGTGGGTTGGAACCTTCAACCTTCAGATTAGTAATCAAGCACAAACTGACGATACTACCCAAGGATCTGATGTGAGCCTTACGTGAGAGATTGGAATGTTAGCTTTCTTTATCAGTTGTGTCCTAAAACCTCCATTGTGGTTTGTGAGTTTCTTACCTGTCTGAGGATTTTATGTGGTGACTGAATCTGCCGTTTTAAGATACTAATTTTCATGCACCATGACAATTGAAAGTTGACGATTTCAAGTGCAAGCTAACAATTTTTATCTGGAAGAAACAGCAGCACAAGATAATTTTGACTTTGAGCGGTCTTGTCTTTTCTTCGCTTGCTGACTTCCACACCAAGACCCACGTAAGAGTGAGTGTACTGCTGGGCTAGAGGCCTGCTGGTGGAATTGAGTAGCGCTGATGGCAGTGAGGTTTGCGTTGGACGCTATCCTGTAGGGCCATTGTGAGTTGGAATTGACTCGATGGCAATAGGTTTCGTTTATGTGGACTTTAACAGGTAACAATTCAGGTGAGAAATGCTCAGCATACAGTTAGGATGTGTTACAAAGCCCTTTTAGGGCTGCCGTAAGTCTCAACCTGAGTTTACCCAGCTCTAGAAATAAGGGTCAGAAAAACCATATCACCCAATTAGTTTCCTAGAAGCTCCCATTCCACACGACAGCTTGCTCCCCCAAAGCACTCAGCTTTACTTGCTCTGTGGGCTGGGAAGTCCACCACTCTGTGTCATGCTCGGGCTCCTAGTTCTGCTGTTATTGTTCCTCTGCCATTCCTTTGGGGTCAAAGCTGCCTCCTGGATCAAGAAGTCCTAGATCTTGGCTTTTCTCTCTTGCTGGTAGAGAGACACTTCTCTCCCTTCCCTCCTTCTGAGGTGTGGTTCATTTTATGTTCAGTACGATGGTACTCAAAATTAACTCTGTTCATAATCATTTACAACGGAATCCTGTTGGTATATACCCCACCTTCTTTTACCCAGATCCATCAGGAAAGGGTAGTTTGGTGGGAGTTACAGAGATTATGCCTAGTAATAATTCACTGCACTGTACCTGGCAATTTGCTTTAAGATTATAGCCATTAAAAGCCTGTGGTACCCTGAAGATCCCCTTGCAGAAGGGTCTTGGGGAGGAGACGAGCCAGACAGGGCGTGATGTAGCAACGATGAAAAATACAGCTTTGCTCTAGTTCCTCAATGCTTTCTCCCCCCCACCCCCCCATCCCCCACTATCATGATCCGAATTCTACTTTGCAAGTCTGGCTAGACCAGAGGATGTACACTGGTACAGATAGGAACTGGAAACACAGGGAATCCAGGGCGGATGATTCCTTCAGGACCAGTGGTGTGAGTGGCAATACTGGGAGCATAGAGGGAGTGTGGGTTGAAAAGGAGGAACCGATTACAAGGCTCTACATGTGACCTCCCCCCTGGGGGACGGACAACAGAAAAGTGGGTGAAGGGAGACATCGGACAGGGCAAGATATGACAAAATAACAATTTATAAATTATCAAGGGCTCATGAGGGAGGGGGGAGTGGGGAGGGAGGGGAAAAAAGAGGACCTGATGCCAGGGGCTTAAGGGGAGAGGAAATGTTTTGAGAATGATGAGGGCAATGAATGTACAAGTGTGCTTTACACAATTGATGTATGGATGGATTGTGATAAGAGCTGTATGACCCCCTAATAAAACGATTAAAAAATAAATAAAATAAACAAAAAAACAAATAAATAAATTTCATTATCAGCAAACAAACAAACAAAAAGCCTGTGGTACCATTCTACTCTGCAACATACGGGCTGCTGTGATTCAGTATCAACTCAATGACAACTGACAACCATAGTATTAAAAGAATTTAATACATTACTCTCATCTGATAAAATTATAATAAAGATAACTACAGTGATTGCGTTATTCAACTCATAGGTAAGATTTCATTGTATTTAGCATATCAGTGTTAGTGTCTATAAAATATATAACCGCTTGGACTAGTTTGTTCCAAGTATTTAAATGTTCTCCCTGAAAATGTAACCCAAACTACAATGGAACTGCTTTTGAAAGTTGTGATGCTGAACGCGATTTCACAGTAAATCATCTTTCTCTTCTGATTTGGGTTTTGTTTTTATTACAGGCTATACGGCTGTGGGACATTTTTTCTCTCGTTACGGGGAGAAGCTGAAGAACCTAAATTTTACCTTCGTGAGTATCCTCTGGAATGAGAAGTACGCTTCAATTCTGGGCTCGATAGAAGGAAAGACCTTTGAGTATTTCCGTGAGCCAGCATCCCTGAAAGAAGCACGCTGCCTGATTTGGCTGCTGGAAGACCACAGAGATAAGTTTCCAGCACTGCACAGTGCTCTGGATGAATTCTTCGATATACTGGGTACGTAGACCAAGTTTAGGTTTATTTATATATAGCCTTAGGAAAAAGCTTTTGAAGGGCCTAACTTATTTAAATACTTAAGGAAAATAGTAAATAATTATTAATGCACACAGTGGTCTCTTTGGGGGGAAGTTGGTGGTTGAGAATGGCGATGTTTTTTTAACGTGAAGTTTGTTTTGTTTTACTGTGGAAGCTTTAAGTTCTGTAGAGATGTTAGGATAGATACATTACACTAGCTGTACACCACACAATTCCCATCTTAATTATTTTCACAGTCATCGCAAAGAATGCATGGCCTTTATCAGCAAGCGGTTTGGTTTTTAGCATTCAGCAATCAGTGGAATGTAGGCAGGAGGTGACGTTTGGAGCATCTGGAGTAGATCTTACATCTCTTTTAGTAGGAATATGATGGAGCTTGGAGTCAGGAACAGTAGGCTGTGGCTCAGCATCTTCCCTAATGCACCTCACTGAAGCTGTGTGTGTTGTCCTATGGCTTCAAGTTTCCATGCTAGGGTTACAAGGAATTCAGACAAGCTTACAGTCGTCCTTAGGGAGCTCGTGCTTTTAGAGAAGGCAGTAAGACATGTGCATAAGTACCTAATTGTCATATGGTAGGAACCTCAGCAGGAGAGGATAGAGCCCCCCGCAGAAGGGGAGAGCTTTGCTGCAGGGCCAGTGGATGAAATGGGCTGTCAATATTGAGTGGAACTGGACAGGTGGGTGTTGGGGAGTAAAGAGGTTGAGTGGAAAGGAATTGTGGAGCACATCTGAGTAATGGCATGGAGTCCAGTTTGGCAGAGAATTTTAAAAACTCAAAAAGCCCAAAGTCTCTGCCATTGAGTTGATCCTATCCCAACTATTTCTGTGACTTGAACTCTTTACGGGGTAGATAGACTGAACTTTCTCTCAAGGAGCAGCGGAGGTTTTGAACCGCCAACCTTGTCCAGTTCCAGTGCTTACTCAACAGCACCACCCTACCTGTCTCCTCATAAACACCCCCCTCAATAAACCCTCTGCCATCAAGTCAATTCCAACTCTTAGCAACCTATGCGTTACAGAGTAGCACTACTCCGTAGAGTTTTCATGGCTAACAAGCTAAATTCCTTAGCATCTCATCATTAAAATGAGAGGATTTTGACTAAATGACCTTTTGGCCTCAAAATTATAATAGTTGATTCTAAATTAATTTTGACTCCTTATACCTGCCACTACATTCATAGTTGATAATAACCCATCCCCCTGCCCTTACTTGTTATCGGTAGTTAGACGTTTACCTTTCAGGCTCCTTGTTGAGAGGAGGACGTAAGATGACCAGCCTTGTCCAAAAGCATCAGCCTTTATAGACGCCAAGCACAGCCTAAGGGACTGACAGTGACAAGCGTAGCGATGTTGTGGTTCTGAGGAAAGAGCACACTCAACTATGGACACCTTTGTTTTTCCAGGATTCTGCTCCATGACCGGAAGGTGACACACTACCCGATAGCCTGACTTTATTGCCATCAGTTTGCGGCTGCTGGTAATAAAACGCTGTTCTGGGACTGAGCTTACAAAACTCGTTGCTTGCTTGGATCACCCAGCAGGGGAACTAGAAGGAGAGAGTTTGCTCTGAGCGTGCATTCTGCCTGATACTTGTGCTCTGTACTTAAGGCATACAGTCCATCGGCTGCGACTGTTTCTCTGCTCTTAGTGAGGGAGTCGGACGCCACCCACCAAATGACTGGCCCACCCTGCAGGTTTTCCGGTCCAGTAGCATCCCCCTGCGCCCTGCCTCCCACGCTCCCCCTGGACCTTTTGCTTCACTCTTTTCAATGAAAGGAAACGACATTTCATGACACATTGCAGGACCCACTGATGTTATAAATCAGGGTGTTCCGTAGTGTCCTCGGTGCTGTGATAATTGGGAGCCCACCCTCCTGTCTGACTGCTGGGTGCCCATCTCTCTGTTGACATTTCTGTGTCACCGTCACAGGCCCCTTAACCGCAGGATGGCTAACCCCACTTAGCAGAAGCCGAATTTTCCTAAATTTATCTCAGCGAACAGAATCTCTGTGTATCTGGTTTTTAATAGGAAACCCAGGAATTAATCTTGATTCCCCCTTTTCCCTGTCTCATCAATCTGTACCTATCTAGTTTGCCGATGATCCTAATAAGCTGTGTTTTTTTTATCTGCCCTTGCCTATCCCAGCTGCACATCTAGGATAGAAGCTTAGTTATTTTTAAAAACTTTATTGAGCTGTAATTAACATATCACACAATTCAGTAGCTCAGTCATATCAAGAAAGGTAACCTAATCAACTTTGGCACCTTTCCTTCCTTATTGTCCCTGTTTGTGTTGACTCCCCATTTCCCCCACCTCCCCTTGCGTGCCACCAGACAACCATCAATCCAGGAACTGTCTATGTAATTCCACCCTTCCCAGTCTCTCTGCACAGATAAACATGCAAAACAATGGCAAACAGCAAACAAGGACCCAGCAACAATGTAACATCTAAGAGAAAGCAGATAATACTACACTTTTAGAATAACTTCACTTTATTCCAGAGGGAGGTTGAATTACAAGGCATTACATTCCAGCTTGAGTATAACTGCTAAAATCCACTTTAAACAAGTGTTTTAAATCTGATATTTAGGGCTGTTGATATCCCTATTCTATGTACATTGAGTATTCGCTGGGGACTCAAGCCACATGGGGACTCTGCAAATGAATTTGGGGCTATCACTATCAAATGTAGCTTTCTACAAACCATGTCTTTAGAATTTAGGCACTGGTCTCGTTCCCTTCTCCAAGTTTGGAACTTATCATTCTCAATCCTTGGATCACATAGGCTGGTGTGCTTCTTCTGTGTGAACTTAGCTGACTCATACTTAGATGGCTGCTTGTTTTGAGACCAGCCTTTAAGCCCCCCGGCACTATTTCTCATGATAGCGTGGCACCATCTAATTTCTTCACCACACTTTGCTCGGTGCCCCATGACTTCATTGATCTCATGAGGGATGGGTACCAGGCAGGGTCATGTTATTGAAACTAATTATGCTTAGATTAGGGCTATGATCGAGTGAGAGCCCAAAATCCATTCAGATAATGATTGTTTCCATAAGTCTCTGGTTCTCTTTTGGAGACACATCATTGTCATTTTATTGTAGTCCATCAGCAATCTTCCTGGTATATGGGGCTTAAGGCTCTTCTACTGATAGTAATGTTATTTCAGTCCGTGGTAAAGCAAAGTGGAGCAAAAGACTTTATACAGGTGTAGAACTACTTATTGGACTCCAATACATGATGTGTTAACGTGCACATTTTCAAAATAGAGGCAACTGGACCCATGTGCGGTTGGAGACAGGGCAGTACTTTCAGTAGCACTCCTTTAAGAGCGCAGAACTGTGCCTGGTAGACTTGCACACGTCACATAAAAGCAAAGAGAGCACGAAAACAGCAACAATAGATTGGTCCCTGGTCGACATCTGTTGGTCACTTTCAGAGAAATCGGTCCAAATTCACCCAAAGTCCAGCACCCACCAATTGCATAATCTTGGGATAGAGATTGTCTGCTGCTGCTGCTTCCACTAGGGTTGGATAGAGCCTAATTTATATCTCCATGGCTATTTATATCTCCATGACTATTTATATCTCCATGACTATTTATATCTCCATGACTTTTGCTGTTGCCTTCAAACTGGTCTCTATGCCTTTACACCTTCCCACTCCAAATCTTTCTCCTCTATTGCAACTATAAATTGTTTCTTTAGAACGTCTGTCAGATCCTCTACTCTGTTGGGGAAATAGCCTACACAATGAATTCACATAATCGCTCCAGGTCACTGTCACTCTCTCCCATCTGCCCTTTAGGTTACACCTTACCTCTTCCTGCCTCCTTCCTTTACTCACACAGTTCCTTCAGACCCAGCCCCCTCCTTTGCCTGCTCATTTCAGGTTGAACAAATGTTCTCACCTACCCAGAGTCCTCGGATTCCTTCTTGGAATTTCTTCCCCTTAAAACTATTACTCCAAAAAAATCCAAAAAAAACTATTACTCCATCTTCTTTTCCACCTTTTCCTAACTTGGCATGTGCAACATCAGGGTTGTAATTGTTCGCATGGTTGTCTTCCTTCAGTTTGATGCGTCTCCATGTGACACAGAGATGATGTCCAAATCATGCTAAATGGGATTGCGTTTGTGTGGTTCCCTGTGGTTGTTTTCCCACTTAGTTACCCATCTTCCCATTCCTTCTTGATTTCTGAAGTAAGCTTGTGTCAATGCCAAATAAAGAGTAGAATGTATTCTATGTTAGTTTTCTTAAAGGCTCTAAATTGTATGGCCAAGCAAGTATTGAGCGTCCTCATAACATTGTCGTTATCGTCCTACAGACAGCAGCTGCACTGTGCTAAGGAAACAGGACCATAATGATGACCAGGTAAGTGATCTGCTCAATTCAAGGGCTATGCTAAATGCTACAGGAAGAGAGGAGGACCCACACAAGTGCTTGTCGACGTCACGTTCCAAGGCCAAATTTGGAGGGTTCCTAGATACTGTTTAAATAAGGAAGTGGAGGCTTGAAGGTAAATAAGCGGCCATCTAGCAGGGAAGCAACAAAGCCCACATGGAAGAAGCACACCAACCTGTGTGAACATGAGGCGTCGATGGGATCAGGTCTCAGGCATTAGAAGACCCCAAACAAACAACCATTTCAATGCAAACGAGGGGGGTCGGAGTGGAGACCCAAAGCCCATCTGTAGACAATTGGACATCCCCTCACAGAAGGGTCCCAAGGAAGGGACAAGCCAGCCAGTGTGTGGTATAGCACCGACGGGAACACAACTTTCCTCTAGTTCTTTAATGCTCTCCCCAGTCCCCCACTATCATGAATGACCCCAGTTCTACCTTACAAATCTGGTTAGACCAGAGCATGTACACGGGTACAGATAAGAGCTTTCCACACACAGAATCCAGGACAGATAAACCCCTCAGGACCAATAATGAGAGTAGCAATACTATGAGGGTAGGGGGAAGGTGGGGTTGAGGGGAAAGGGGAATCAATTGCAGTGATCGACGTATTACCCCCAACACACACACACACACACACCAGCTCCAGAGGGACAAACAACAGAAACATGGTTGAAGGGAGGCAGCGGACAGTGTAAAATATGAAAATAAAAATAATTTATAAGTTATCAAGGGTTCACAAGTTGGGGCGGAGAGGAGCTGATACCAAGGGCTCAAGTAGAAAGAAAATGTTTTGGAAATGTGTATGGCAACATATGTACAAATGTGCTTGATATAATTGATGTATGGATTGTTATAAGAACTGTAAGAGCCCCCAATAAAATGATGTATTAAAATTTTAAAATAAACAAATAATAAATGAGGACGTGCAATCCCAGTCTTCTTCTTGGGATTGGCATGATAATGGACCAATTCTGAAGCTTAAGCTAGAACACTGTCCAGTTATCAATACTCATAATTGATAAATGTTAATGTTAGAAACAGAAAAGGAAGTGTCCTGAGTCATCTCCTGGTGGACAAATGAAGGGGGATTTTCAGTGATGCAAATGCTAGTGTTTTGTTCTGTAAGGAAAGCAAAGGGACCTCGTTTTGAGTGATTCCAAAGTGAGTTGAAGTTAAAACCATCCCCGGTGAGTTTTTCTCTGTTGGTTGTAGTTGCCACTTCCCCTTTCTTCCTTTTAGAAAAGAGAGTCAGTCAGGAAAAGAAGGCAGGTTTCAAAGGGAAAAACCCTGGTTTGCTGATTTTGTGGATTAAGTCATCTCCATTGAAATTTGTCTTCATCTGCTTTACCAAATATTTTCCCCTTCAGTATGGAGCACAGCTGGCACAGGCTAGAATAGGGCAATAGATCCTCTCAATTTATGATGCCTGCCCTGGGGCCCAGCCAGTCACAGAATGCCTAATAAAAATAGTACTGTAAAAATGCATGTAATCAGAATTACTTTAAAATCTGTTTGATTACTTGAATTCAAATAAACCCTGTTAAGAATGAGTTTTAACTGTTGAAACAGTTAAATTTGAGTTGTAACATTAAATATCATTGGTCATTTTCTTCTATTATAAATTGTAACACCTGGGCTGAAACATACATTATAATGCTATTTTTGTTAGTTATGTCATATACATCCAACTTATGACTGACTAGTCTGTGAAAATTAGTATGGTTTCATTATATTGAGCTTCAAAATGCTGCTGTTTGAATTTTCATTGTTATTTTTTCCCTCCATTTTTCCAGTACGCCCCTCCTGCAAAGGTGAGAAGCAAAGGAAAGAAAAAGAAACCAAAAGATATGAAGGTATGGAATATTTTCTCTATTAATTCTTATCCCAACTCCCCAGATTAATTGGCTATGTAAATTTGAACAAACCAGTTCTTGGGCTGTCTTGCTAAAGTGTTCTGTAGAGGAAGAATTTCTAGGCTTTAATCTAAAAGTATTTAGACTTTTTTACATTTTAAGGGAATTTAAGATTTATATAAAAGTAACTCTTAGAGGAAGCTTATCTTTTATTGGCGTTTGTGAATTCTAGCTACTTCCCTGTGAAAGCACTCCCATACTGTGGATTCAGTTTGGGTGGCCACAGAGCAGAGTGGCCAGAGGAGGCTTTGGCCCCAGGCCCATTTGGGCTCACATCTTGGTTCTCCCCGTTGCTAACTGGCTCACTTCCTTGCTTTTGCTGTGCCCTACTGTTCTCATCTGTGTAAAGGAGTAAAAGGGATGCCTGCTACTCGTAACTACTACTGTTAGTGTGCTTTTCTTCTCTGGAACACATGGGTTAGAAGTGACTCGATGGTAGCTAGGTTGGCTATTATTATTATTACCCAAATGCATTTTACAGGGAGGTAATAGTTTCTACTATTCAAAAAGCTTTTGTTGGAATTATTTCTATTCAAATGATTATCAGCTAAACTGTTTAAAATAAAATGATGGATAATAATGGTCATAGCAGACTCTTGAAATTAATCAATCCCTTTTCTTCTTCCCACAAAGCCTTTAAGATAACTAGGGCCTTGTTTAAATTTCTTGCCAGGGGTGAGGGGCTTCTTCGTGGCTTTTGTATATGAGTGGCAGGTAGGCAATAGAAGAATGAGCAGGTCAATCCCAACAAAAGTTTCATTTCATTATTGACTATATGTCTTTAGTTGAGCTAAAGTGGGAATTCGATCCGAGTGACATCTACATTGTTGTTAGAGCATTGGATACCACGCTCAATGTTAACTTGGATCTATTACTGGTTGTTGACATTGGTATACAACAACAGTAGCTTCAAATGATTGCTAGGACCTCTATTGTGTTCCTATTCAAATCGACACAGTGTTGGGGGGAGCCCTGGTCGTATAGTAGGTTATAGATTAAGCTGCTAAGTGAAAGGTCAGCAGTTTGAAACCACCAACAGCTCCTTGGGAGAAAGATGAGGCTGTCTACTCCCCCAAAGATTTAAATTTCTGGGAAACCCACAGGGCCAGTTTCACTTATAGTGTTGCTCTGGCTTAGAACCGACAGGTTGCCTGTGAGTTTGGTTTTTGAGTGTTAAGGTAGACAGTCATTGTCACTTTTCTGTCTTTTAAACCAGCCTATGTTAGTCGGGTCTGGATTACCTTCACTAAAGACATGTTTTAAAAGTGAGACTGTCGCTTCAAGAGTCAACAGAAAGTGAGTACAGTTTTAAAATTTTTGTATCATTTAACCTCAAGGGTTTTAATAGAATGATTGGACAACTTGATGTGGCCATCTTGGTTGAATTTATAACATGACTTATAGGCATTAAGTATTCATACAGAATGTCCTAAAGCCACAAGGCCAATGAAACTCAATCAGTAAGTATATCTTGAGAACTTACTATGTGCAGGGAACTATGGGAAACTGCTAACAAATTGTCCAGAAAAGTTTGTTTTGTTTTTTTTCAGAAAAGGTTTTACGTATCCAATGAAGAGAGAATATTGTGCTGTTAATTCCTAGCATATTTACTATCACAGGCGAGAGGCAGGAGTGGAGACTGTAAAATGATGCTATAGTTTAACCTTAGATATTCGGGATTTTCACTGGTGGTTCAAACTGAATTTTCAATAAACAAATACAACAGTGAGTTTCTAAATATATTTTTGTTTCATATCCTCTATGGACCAAAACCCACAAGATGTTTTTTTCTCTATCTGTTTATGTCTTTTGCTCACTTTTTAATTGGATTATTTGCTCTGATTAAGGTGTTCCAATTTTCTGTGGATTTAGAGATGACTCCTTGTTGTGTAATTCCTAAAGGTTTTCTTGCAGTCCATGGGCTCTCTTTTTACGCTTTTGATGAAATATTTTGGTACACAAGAGTTGTATGTTTAGTAGATACTAATCATCAATTTTGTCTTTTACTGTGTGTAATTCCTTCATCATATGTGTCTATGTCCTGTTAAGTATCTCCCTATTTTCTCTTTGATAATCTTTATAGCTCGGGGATTCACATTTAATTCCATCTTGAGTTTGGGTTTGTGCTTGGGGGTGAGGTACGGGTCCTGTTTCATTCTGCAGATGGAGATCCAATTTTGCCAGTACCATTTGTGGAAGAGAGGCATTGCGGTTTTAAAGCTGCCACTCAAACCACCACCTCGTTTTAGAGTGGTAGTCATGCTGGTGGTTTCTTGAGCAGGGAGAATGAACATGGAACACGGACACACACACACAGGGACAGAACAAGACTGCTGCACAAAATAGACACAGACAGAGACGGTACAAAACTGCAGCTGCCGTTGACAGCCCGCAGTGCTTTATTATTTACGGACTACATACTGGCAGTGTTCCCAGACAAGTTTGCTATTCCCACACTTGAATCTCTCATAGCCTTGAGAGTGAGTTCCGTATCTTGGCCCATACCGTATGTTTACATTTCTACCAGGGAAACACTGTTTGCAGCTGCTTCCACAATCTCCTTACCGTTTGCGGTAAGGAAGCAGTTTACGAGAACCAGCTAGGACAGACGTTTGCGTACTGTCCTAGACAATACATGACTCGAGACACAGTGCTCCTCTCATGGCTCCTTCAGGTAGAATCTGATCCGTATCTTTTTTTTTGTTTTAAGTCTTCTTATTAAGCACCTTTTACCAGTCTCAATCTTACTTTACCTTAAATCAATAGCAATTACAATAAAATCTTATGTTTTTCTCTTCAACCCTGTAATAAATTATAACTTCCAACCAATCCCAGAGGGTTTTTTTTTTTTCAATTGCTCTGGGTAAAATGAATAGTTAATTACAGGTTCCTACTCAGACTATCAGGTATTTCTTTTGACTGTGGAAGCATTACCTCTTTGCCTTCAGTTGTCTAGTAAGGTTTTCGTGTTGTTTATCCAACATAATGTTGAATCATAGTTACCATCGGTGGCTTGTTTTTCCCCCCTAAGTATTCTTCCGGTTGATCCCAAATGTAATTGTTCACCAAGTGATGTTTCCGATGACAGAGGCAATTCAGGCCGGAGGCGTCTTCGGAAAGAAGTAGAAGAATTCGAAGCTTACTACCATAAGAAGCAGCAGCTGCAGAACCCGCAAACTAGAGAGTACACTGACCAGAGTAAGACGGCTGAGACAAGCTCTAAGTCAAAATCGACTCTGTATGAGTAAGTTGTTCAACGGGCTGTCACATAGACAGTAGGTGTTGTGATGACAGCTATTTTACACGGCTGCTGCTGCGAGTTTAAAAGATACGCTTAGCTTTTTAATCTTTTTGTTCTTTTCCTTTAAAAACATTGTTTAAGGTTTTCTTTTTTTTAATCATTGGGGGCTCATACAACTCTTATCACAATTCATACATTCACCAATTGTGTAAAGCACATTTGTACATTCGTTGCAAGGGTTATTTTCTAAGGGGTAGGTAAAATTTTGTTCACACTATCAGTAAGTGTGGTTTGCCTGACTCGGTTATTTAATCCTAATACAGTATGTTTCTTGAGGAGTTAAAATCAGTGAGCAGTGAAACTTGCTTTGGGAAAATAAGCTGGTCTTCCAAATATGTATAAATACTTCTTTAAAAAAAAATCATTTTATTGGGGGCTCATACAACTCTTATCATAATCCATACTGTATAAATGCTTCTGTTAGGTTTTTCGAGTGAGAAATGCCTCGGTCCTTGGCTTCCTGGGAGAAAGAATTCACTCTGAAGCTTGGATTATGATCCAAGTGAGTGTTATAAAGGATAGAAGAAGTTTCAGGTCTTACACAGGCTCCCTCAGGGCACTTCACACACAGTGGAGTTCTGAAGCCATAGGAGGTTGCAGAATGCCTCTTAGGAGCAGTTTGAGAGAAGGTGGCCTCTGGCTCCGGATTATGGCTTTTTCAGGCTCTCCGCTGGGGGGCTGATCAACGATACTGGTTGACCCCCTTGGCCGAATTAAACTCACCTGGCCTAGATGGAGGTCAATCCAGGTGTACCGCCTACTTAGGTGTACCTCCCCTTCCTGCCTCGGAGCCCGAATCTCTGAGCATGCTCAGTGGACACCCTGGTCCCTGTTTTACCTACCTAACACTTCCTGTAATAACGCCTGCAAATACTTTTGTTTTCCCAGTTACTTCTCTGAGTATTTGGAGGACAATGGCCCCTTGGACATCAGAGATAAGGTATTCTCCAACGAATATCGATTTTTTCCAGAAGAAACTCGGCAGATAGTGCAAAAGGCAGGGGGCCTGAAACAGTTTCTTCTGAGGTGTCCTCGTTTCGTCGTGATTGACAACTGCATTGCACTGAGGAAAGTCCCCACACGGTTCAGGAGAAAGGGAAAGAAGAGAATTAAGGAAGAAGTAGACGACCTTGTCAACATCGAAGATGAACTGTACTTGCCATTTTTCTTATCTCTGAGCTCAGAAGCCAAGGAAGTTACCCCAGAGTCAGATCCATCTTCATCACCAGCTAAAGAGGATCCAGTGACCGCTCCAGCATCTGCTGACTCGGCTTGTGCAGGCCCAGCTGTGGAGCCTAAGCTGGCATCAGGAGATTTTCCCAGGCCAGTTTCTGAAGATGGGTATGCCAAATGGATCGCTTCCGACTCTCCCCAGTCAGGTTCTGAGGTTGCAGTTCCCATGCCAGCCTCCTCTCAGTCTCTGGTACCAGTGTTCCAGAATGTGAGTCCAGCCTACTGGGCTCAGCCCCCTGCGGCCTCGGGCTACTGCACATACCTTTCTTATCAGGGGTATGACATCACACAGACACCACCAGTATACATCAATGAGCTGTCAAGTGTGCCCCCATATGCTGGTGTATACACACCTCTGACAAGCTTTTCAGAGTATGAGTTGCAACAGGGAATTCCATTCCTGCAGCCTTTCGTAACTTTTAGTGAGCCAAATCCAAATGCTGCGGCTGGTTTTGAGGGCCCCCAAGTGAATGCTGAGAAGGCCTCTGGTAACCAGCAGGCCCCAGTGAAGTCATTCTGTAGCTCAGGTGTTTCTACTACAGCTCTCAGTGAGTCTAGCAGAAATGGCTTCCGTGAAAAGTTTGCCAACCAGGAGGGAGAAAACAGAATCGAGACCAATGGAGCCACAGCTTTTCTACCTACACAGAAGGCTGCCATACAGGTAAGAGGGCAAGCAGATAATGTTTGCTTCAGTTAAAACTTTCCAATTAAACTTTCCTTGCCCTCTTTCATTGCCACTCTGTTCACCAATGCCCTTAACAGTTGGTAGCTTTGTAACAGTTACTAAACCTTTTAACGGAAAATGTTTATAATGTGAACCCTTTCAAGTGGTGCGACAGGTGACTTTGTCAGGAAGAAGCATGGAGTTATATAAGTAATTCTCTTCTTCCCCACCCCCTGAGAGAAAAGAGTCAGCAGGTGGAGCTAAAACACTATCTAGGCCACCAACAGAGGTGTAGTAGGAGGACGTGGCTGCAAGCCGTAGAAAAGGACCTGACCTAGCAGTGCACCCCACATCACACACATCCCCACCGTAACAGCAGTGCTGGGGGCTGCTGGCAGAGGAGAAGAGGGCGGGGGAAATGTGCCTCTGTGCAGGCCATCAGCACCTAAGAGAGGAAAGGAAGAGTCTTGGCTACACATGCCCATATCTCCTACCAAGCCAGTGGGGGTGAGGACGGTTCAAGATTCCAGCCAAGGGAGAAAAACGTGAGGGAAGAGTCCAAGCCTTCCTTCCTGCCAATAAGTTGATGTTCCTCTGTTTGACCTTTACAGGGCCTGATTCATTAAACCCTTAGTGCTTGCCCTCCTCCTCATTATTGTTTGCTGCCCAGGGAGCTTTGAAAAAGTCTGTGAAGAGTTGGTGAACCCAAACCACTTTCAGGTGTACTGGGTCCAAGTGACCTCGTTTTCCTACTATAGATATTTGTGGAAGGCATGGGGTATTGCTTCAATTAACCGAAGGACACCAAACACCTTGAAAAATTGTAGACACGGTTTGAAATGTTATTACATGAAGAATGTGTTGTATGAGAACAGCTTATCAGAGATGTGTGCTTTTGCTAAGTGCTTGTTTTGTTCCTCAGGTGCCCAGGGTTATGGTAGACCAGGAGGTCAACACTGACCCTTATGAAGGTTATGAGGCTGAGCTGGTAAGTCCGAATTGCAATAAACCATTCAAAGGTTTCATATCCATTAATAGGATCTAGGTAGTGAACCACAACTATTTTGGAGTCAACTAAACCCTAAGTCATCATGGAATAAGCTTAAGAACAGAAAAAGAAAAGTGGTTTTGTTTATATTGTTGAGATTTGGGAGGCAAGGGTGTGGAGGGCAGGCAGAGGAAAAGGTCAGTTTTTTCTAGTGTATTTATTTCCAAGTATAATATATTAAGCATGTCTTCATTTACAAACTATAAATACGAGCTTATTCATGTGAGTAGTACAGGAAGCTGTTATAAAGACTTTTTCACCAGCTTAAGGTTGGTTCAATGGGAAACTATTAATGTCATATCACGGTAACACGTAAGACAAAAATTATTTTACTATTTAATTGCTGAGAAGGCATTGGAATAAAATTCAATGTCCTTTCTTGACTAAATCTCATATGAAAATGACAGTAAATTAATACTTCTCAACCTGTGAATATCTTTTTCTCTTCAGCCAAAAGCTGTCATCTTGCTAAAAAATGACACATCATCATCATTATTAAAAGTTAAATGAGAGAGAGAAATCAGATTGAAAAGAAAGATGTACAAGCATCATTAATTAGCAGAGGCTGAGGTGTACACCTGGAAAATCCAAATTAGTCACTTGCAAAACCTATGCAATAAAATTCTGAAAGGTGATTAGATACACAATAAAGAGAACTGTCCTGCACAAACAACCTGTTACGAAGTGCATTAAAAGACAATGTTCTGTGGTCAACTGCATGGCACAAATGTGTATGTTTATCTACTCATGTATAGTGTGTTATACAGAGGCATAGCATGTATATGTGCAGGTGTGTGTGTGTGTGTGTGTGTGTGTATAAGTGTATATGAACAACACATACATAGCACCAAAATACAAGTAACCAATTGGGAAAATGCTACATCACATAGGACAGGTAGAGGGCTAATTTACTTAGCATATGTGCAAAGTCTCTATAAATCAGTAAGAAAAAGATTATTATCTTAGCAAAAATTTAGGAATGAGTATGAAGCGACAATCCATAATAACAGAGGTATGATTGATTTTTAAACATATTAAAAGATGCTCAACTCCACTTGAGATTTTAAAAAAGTCATTTAATGTTGATCAGAATATAAAATATAAAATTTAAGTTTTGGAACAAGAATGGAAGTTACACTCATTCAAGGAGGCTTCCAAAAGTTTGTGGGAAAATGGAATTAATAGATATTGGAATTTTTCCACAAACTTTTTGAAGTCTCCTTGTTTATGAAGATAGAAATCAGTGGACTAAGGATATTCGTATATTTATCTTAGTCACATTTAGAACAGCAAAAATTTGAGGAAAACCTAAATGTTCAGCAATATGCTAGTTAAATGATGATACAGCCACAAAGTGAAATGTTGTCATTTAAAAATGTGACAGTCCCGTCGTTGCTAATATGGACTGATTTTCAAGAGTAGATGTGTAGTGAAAGGAGAAGCAGCAGCTTAGCACTTTGCATTGCCTGCTACTGCTGTATGTGAAAATCGCCTTATGGTCTGAACAATTATAAAAATGATGCAGAGCACAAAGCCCACATGGAACAACATATCAACCTGTGTGATCACGGGGTGTCGAACGGATCACTGAAGACAAATGGGTGCATAAGCAAATGTGGTGAAGAAAGCTGATGGTGCCCAGCTATCAAAAAGTATAGCGTCTGGGGTCTTAAAGGCTTGAAGGTAATCAAGCGGCCATCAAGCTCAGAAGCAACAAAGCCCACATGGAAGAAGCACACCAGCCTATGCAACCACGAGGTGTCGAAGGGATCAGGTGTAAGGCATCATCAGAACAAAAAATCTTACCATAGTGAATGATGGGGGGAGTGTGGAGTGGAGATCCAAAGCCCATTAGTAGGCCACTGGAGATCCCCTTGCAGAGGGGTCTCGGGGAGGAGATGAGCCAGTCAGGGTGCGATGTAACAATGATGAGAAATACAACCTTCCTCTAGTTCCTAAAGGTTTCCTCCCCGCTCCCACTACCATGACTCGAATTCTATCTTGCAAGACTGGCTAGACCAGAGGAGGTACACTGGTACAGATAGGAACTGAAAATACAGGGAATCCAGGATGGATGAGCCCTATAGGACCAGTGGTGTGAGTGGCAAAACAGGGAGGGTGGAGGGAGAGTGGGTAGGAAAGAGGGAACCAATTGCATGGAACTGTGTGTGGCCTCCTCCCTGGGGGACGGACAACCGAAAAGTGGATGAAGGGAGAAGTCGGACAGGGCAAGATATGACAAAATACCCATTTGTAAACTATCAAGGGCTCATGCGGGAGGGGGGAGCGGGGAGGGAGGGGAAAAATGAGGACCTAATGTCGGGGGGTTAAATGGAGAGAAAATGTTTTGAGAAACGATGTACAAATGCGCTTTACACAATTGATGTGTGTATGGATTGGGATAACAGTTGTATGAGCCCCTAATAAAATGTTAAAAAAAAAATGATGCAGAGCCCTGGAAAAGATCTATGGCCATCTTCCCAGGTCTGTCTTCAACATTTACATATGAAGAAACCATGAGTTTTGTGTGTGTGATTCACCCATACCATGTACATTGTCTTTGAAAATTGCCATATTTATTTCGTACATTACAGACTTTTTTCTGTCAGTTCATAAAAATTTATAATCTCATTTTAAATGAATACTTGATATCCCTTTGTATGAATGTATGATAGTTGACCAGTTTCTTATCATTCAGCATTTAGATTGTGTCAACTTTCCATTTTTATAGACAGTACCAAAGTGAACATGCTTGTCTTTGTATTTAAAGCATCTGTACTGAGTTAGAATGACTGATGTCAAGTTCTTTAAACCAGTTACATGTCGTTGTTTACCAAGTCAGTATTTTTGACCCTCAGATAGATATTTTCTTTAGTGTTAAGAGAAATCACCAACTCCTCCTCTAATTAGCTCATGGCTTCAGGGCCCAGCTGATTTCTGGGACTTTGAGAAGATTACTAACTTCTCAGAGCCCTCTATTTCCTGAACTATAAAAAAGGGGATACTATCTCTCCCAGAATTGTTGTGAAGTTTAAATGTAGTACTATGAAGATGGTCTTTAACTTTCTATCTATCTCTGCTGGTGTAGGAGCCTATAAATTGATGCCTAACTCTAGGTGGCTGTTCATTGTGATTCTTTTGTAGGAGTAAGACTGGAAATAGAACTAACTCAGATCTTAGACCATAAGGTTTTTCTAAGGGGTCACCGTAAGGTTTGACCAGTTAATTCAGCCCCTTAGACAGGGACTCTTCATAGCACACGGGAGCTACTTCGGGCAGGCATAAACTACAACTCTCCGCGGCAAACTGGCATGTGTGGTCATCTTGGCCAGAGTTCACAGTTCTCCGACTGATAATCCACAGAGTTTCAAATACTTGCTTGCCTGCATTTTCAACTTGCTTGTTAAGAGAAGTGGAAGAAGCCCTGGTGTTGGAGAGGCAGAGGAGATGACGAAAGTGGACCAGGTTTGTGCCACTGGGGTGGATAGCGTTCCTGTGCCTGGCTCCCCAGGCCCTTCATCACTGGGTAAGACAGTCACTGCAGCTGGGAGGCGTTGCCAGCATCAAAACAATCCTCCTGAGACAGTATGATCACTCCTGGTCTGAACAGTGTGAAACTGTGTGGCTGCTGTTTGGGGTGTGTTTGTTTGTAAAGCTTGTCCATGAGGCAGTTAGATGAGAGGGTTTCAGAAAGTTCAAAAGAAAATGGATTGAAAAGATAATAGAATTTCTCCACGAACCTTCTGAAGCCCCCTCTATAACTGAAAACAACTCGCTGATCATATTTTAACTGTCTTTTTGAAATAATCAGCTACTTTTCATGTGAAACATTTAAAACTAGGGCCAAAGTAGATATGTTCTATTACTTGATATGGCACACGCGTAATATGCATTTTTAAACCTCATAAGCCATTCTCAATGTTAATTGTGGAGAGTAGCATGCAAATCAGACTGTTGGTCTAATACTTACTGAGCCCTTGTAAAACCAGTAAACATGCAGAAGTTGGAGATGACTCGATTGCAGCATAAATTGTAGTAGATATTGATTTCCAGTAAAATTAATAACTAAGCGACAACTGACTTTGCTGATCAATGCTAAGGGGGGGTTTAGTTCTTGAACTATGGTGACATTTCCCTTGTAAGTTTTCATCTGCCTTTTAATCTTCTTTATTTTAAGAGCATTCGGAACAAGATCAGAAAGAGGCAATTTTAACTTTTTAATAGCTGCGTTTGTAATTTACTTTAAGGGGGATATCTCAAGGATGGAAAAGGAATACAGGAAACTGCAAGAGATGCTTGAGCATGCATATGAAAATTATGAACAGACAAGATTCAAGGGCTTGGCAGATATCAAAGACCTGGAAGAAAAGCTGGAAAAGAATGCAGAACAAAACCAGGTAATCTTGTCTGAAACCTCTTTCTAATTGTGCCTAATTAGGAGGATATAAACAAAACTGTGCTTGCATAGGCCTAATTGAGCTGAGTTTCTGTATTATTGGCTAAACAAAGGGGTTTTGGGGTCAGTATTAACCTATTTCAAGTTTCTCTGTGATATGCTGAAGTGATTGAGTTTTTTGCAATGTTTGAGGATCTCTGCAAATTGTTTTGTAAGAAAGCTAATGGGCTGCCAATCTGGCTTTTCATTCACATTTATCTCAGGATACTCGTTAACTAGCATTCTTTTACATAGACAAGTGCCTCGTTAAAATTCCGGATCTTGAGAGTGGACCAGAGTGTAAGTCTTAAGTTCTCCCTGGGTTCTCAGATTAGTTCCTGTCCTGGTCAAATTAGTTAACTTTTCTGTGCTTTAATTTCTTACCTGGAAAACTTGGGGGCAGTCGTTTTTTATTTTGCAAAGTTAAGGATTAACTAAATTCACACTCATAACGTGCTTAAAACTGCCTGCCACATAGTCCGAGCTCGGTTAGCGCTGGCTGCCCTATTGTGCCTGTTGTGTCCATCATGATCTTCATCTCGGCCTCGGGAAGTAGGTCAGAATAACGCATGGAGCTTAGGCACACTAGACCTGCAGTTGCCAGGCGCTTGGCTTGCTTCTCCTGATCTTGAGTTCCATTAGCTAAGATCGATCATCATTTACGTACAAGGGTAAGTCAAAAAGCATTGCTGCCAACTCACAGAACCCTGTCTTGAACACAGAGCATCAAAACATGACCCTGCAGTTTCCCCACGGAGCCTCCATCCGGTCTGTGCCCTTCTGAAGGCGGTGTTTCCATTCCATCCACCCCACATCGAAACGGCAGTTTTGCCATCCGCAAGGGACTCAAGTTGTGTTCATTTTCAATGGCCTTTGAATTTTGGGAACAAAAGGAAATGTGAAGGCAGCAAGACCATGGCTGCAGGATGGATGGAGTAAGATCTCCCAACAAAATTCTCATAGCGCAGCCCTACTACCCTCGAAGAATAAAGGATACGTAGTCGAGGGGGGAGAAACATTTCTCAGTGCAACGTTCTGATTGGTCTTTTTCTCTCCAGTCCAGTTTTTGGTTCTTCAACCTTCTCCCTAAGGCAGCTCCTGTGATTGTCTTGTGCCCCAGCAGAAAGTCGATCAGGATGGCCCCTCTGGAATCCCCCCAAACAGTTGCCATCACCTTCTGAGCTGAGCTTTCTGACTTGACTTGAATCAGAATGTCCCAGCAGATCCCCTCAGAAGCCACTGTTTTGATTGGACCGTCAGATTTGAAGTCACCCTAACAAACAAGACTGTGTGTATTACTGAAAGAACTCCTCTACAGCCATCCAGTGATCACTGAGATAACATTTAAACAAGTTTGGTTTAGAAGGAACCCGTGTATGTATGAACTGGGAAACACTGTGGCACACAGTCTATAAGGCACACCTGAGTGCATGACAAGGGCAGTTTTGCTGGCAGTCATTTACAGTGGGCCTCCTGTTTGGGAAGTTTAATTCTGCCTGGTCAACCCTCTTCCAGCTTTATAAAGTGCTCCTCTGGCTGGCCCTTTACTGGCCATTGACTAAGAAGGCTATGGCCCATGAAGCCTCCAGGCAGGCCCTGTGGGAACAGAGTTAAAATGTTTGACCTTGGTAGGGCTTTGAGTCTAGTTTCATGTAGTGTTACTCAAGTCATTTTGCTTTTCAAAAAGGTAATTAATCCCCGAATTATAGGTGTGTTAGGTTATGAGCCTTCCTATGGAAAATGGATGCCTGTTTCCTGTCTAAATAATTTGCTGATCAGAGTTCCTTCGGTTGGTGTCTGCACAAGAGCAGATGAGATATATCCATGGTCGTTTCATATGTTCGTAAATATCTTGTGGAGAAACCTTTTACACATGTAGCAAACATTGTGTAGCTTTTATTGATTTTTTCCTTCAACTCAGTAGATCACTGAGGGTTTGAAGTTACTTATCATATTGGGACATATTAGATGAAGAACCCCATCCCCATTCTAGAGACTAGAAAGAGGCAAACAACTGAAATTAAGAAGTCAGAAGTTAGGCTCAATTGTCATGCACCATCACTCAATAGGGATTCACGGTGATCCCATGGAAGAGTAGAACTGTCTCATAGGATTTCCCAGACTATTATAATTTCCACAGAAGACATCCTGGTGGCTCAGTAGTTAAGAGCTTGAATACTTAAAGAAAGGACACTGGTTCCAAACTACCAGCTGCTCCCTGGGAGAAAGGGCAGTCTGCTTCTATAAAGATTACGACGTTGGCAATCCTGGGGAAGATTAATTCTGTAGGCCACTGTGGGTGAGAACCAGCTGAGTGACAATAAGTAATCTTTAGAGGAGTAGATCCCAGGCCTTTCACTCATAGATCCCCTGGTCAGCAACCAACCTCATGGTGAGAAACTAAGTGCTTGACCATTGCTCCTCTAGGGCTTCTGGGGTTACCCCTATTTCAGAGATTCATGAAGGCTCATCAGGGAGGGTTGGAGAATGGGGTGGGGCATGGCCAGAGATGATAAGCACAGAGCCCTGGTGGCAAAGCGATTAAGTGCTTGACTGGACTGAAATGTTGGCAGTTGAACTCCCCAGTGCTCCATGGGAGAAAGGCGTGGCAGTGTGCTTCCGTGAAGTTCACAGCTTTGGAATCCCTGGGGGACAGCTCTACTCTGTCTTACAGGATTGCTATGAGTTGGAATCACCTCAGCAGGTAATGGTATTCAGGGAAGAAATGTCTGACCCAAAATGTCAGTCATGCCTTTCTTGAGAAAAATGCATTGTTCACAAAGCAGCTTAAGAATAGTTAACACGTTTTAGGGCCCCCAAGTTTGTCTTTATTTTTTTTGTTGATGATCTTTATAATTCTGGGTTTTTACCCTTAGGTCTTTGATCCATCTTGAGTTTGTTTTTGTGTATGGCTTTATTTTATTATTCTGCACATGGACATCCTGTTTTGCCAGAACTACTATCGCTTCCCCATTTCATGGATTTCCTCACTTTGCAAAGATCAGTGGTCAGTAGATGAATGGTGTTCATCTTCATTTTGAATCACGTCCTACCTGCAAATAAAAGTCCCCAAACCATTACTCCATTCACGTCCTCAAAGTAAACCCTACTTAAAGGAGGCAGGTTTTCCTTGGTCTAGAACAGGGGTCCTCAAACTGCGGCCCGCCGAGGACATTTATCCAGCCCGCTGGGTGTTTTTGCCCCGTTTTGTTTTCTACTTCAAAATAAGATATGGGCAGTGTTCATAGGAATTTGTTCATAGTTTTTTTTAAAACTATAGTCCGGCTCTCCAATGCGTCTGAGGCACAGTGAACTGGCCCCCTGTTTAAAAAGTTTGAGGACCCCTGGTCTAGAAAGTGTCTTCTAACCAGAGGGGCACATCTTTCAGCAACAAATGAGATGATGGTTCACTCCTATTCCTAAGGTATGCAGTGACTGGTCCCTCAGAAGTGGATCATCTGTTCCTTCTCTCTAGTTTGTCTTACTCTGGAAATTCTGCTGAAATCTGTCCAGTATGAGCGGCTCTGCTAGTACTTGACATACTAGTGGCATAATTTCCAGCATCACAGCAACATAAAGCCACCGCAATACGACAAACAGACACACACGGTGGACACACACAGTGACTACAGCCGTGGGCTGAACTATAGGAACGACGACGAGGGTCTCACAGGACCAGGCAGCTGTCCCCTCTGCTGGATCTGTGAGTCACAAAGAATAGTTAACATCTTAAGCATCGATGAAAACGTGAGCTAGCTATTGCCTTGAGCTGAGGGCTCTGTTGTCGTTGACCAGGCCTGGAGTGCCACAGCTCTGTAGATGTTTATTCGATGATCAGATAGTCCACCCCATCTATTTGGCCTCCTCAGACTGCTAGGAATGAATTCGCTTGTCTTCATTTTCTGTATCACCCTCCATCAGAGAGTATCAGATTGTGCATTCTGTGAATCACCTATAGTTGAAACTCTAATCCATTCTTTCATTTAATAAGTATATAATGAATGTTCGGGAATGGTGCAGTCTGTATTGTAGCATCATCTCTATGGGACCCTAAAACATCACCCTCTCATCGTGGACAGTCTGGGCTTCTGTGCAACTGCTCTGTTTTCATTTTGTGGGTGCTGAGTTACATAGCTCATTGTATTTCCTCTATGTCTTTTCTACTATTTAACACTATTTCTAATGAGTGCCCAGGCCCCCAACCATTCACTTCTGATTATTTGCTCCCATCTTCTTATTCTGTCTTCTTTACCTATCTATTTAGCATCATTTTTATTTTGCCTTTTGAAATTATGTATCTTAATAAAAGGACCCAAATACTTGTATTGGAAAAAAATTAATTAGAAAAAGAGGTATGAGAACTAGACTTTATGAACTGACAGACCACTGGGAAGTGTAGATGGATCAGTAGACTGTGTAGGGCTCAGGAGACTGCTGTCTTTCAGCAGAGTTGGCTGGCTGGGTTGGCCTGAGGCAGCTAGTCACTGCATTACAAACAGCAGTTGGACTCATGTAGCCTTTCCAGCGACTGAGCTATAAATGTGAGTGTGTAATATTTTGTGCCTTTGTGCCTGAACTTCTCTAGGTGCTTGTTGGCAAGTAGATTCTTATTGCCCCAGCATAGCCCTGTGGTTGCACATAATCTCCCAGCCAATGGGAGGCAGCTGCGGCGAAGTCACTGGCTCAGAATAGAAGCCCCACGTAGGCAAGAAACACAGTTGGCTTGGCTGCCAGCAACAAGGCAAGGAATCAACATGGGCCATGGCAATAGAACTACGGAGGATGCTGAACTCTATAACTAGAGTAGCTCTGACACCAAACCAAGTCACAGGAAGGACTTCAGGAGCAGCAAGGTTTAAGGCCGGAGCGTGTTAGCAGGACTGGTCCTCATGCTAAAGGAACCTTGGCCAGACTGTTCAACTTCTCCTGCTGAAAAACTGTTGTCCTAGCATTTAGGCATTTCAAAGCCACCTAAATCAACTCTCCCAGTGTGGTAGGACAAATCTTAAAGGACCATCACTGGTTAGCACCTCTGTCTCCCAGGAACAATGAAAACCTTTGTACCTAGGGCTGAAGAGGAAGACATCCTCTAAGTCAATGTCACTTTTGACTTGTCCATTATTTCCCATGACTCTGTAGGTTCACTGTAGGTGTCCTGTCCATTGAAGGAAGAAGGTTGTGCTTTGTTGTAGCTGAACTCTTGTCCTTAAGGACTAAGTCACTAGTCACCCTAAAAGGGAAGTAGGGGTTACAGGGAATTGGTCAGTAGAAGGAAAATTTAAAATTTCCCTAAAGAAAATATGAAAAGTCAGGGGATTTCATTAACCAGTTATTGGTGACAAGTGAAATCTCACCCAGGAAAGGACTTAAGTTGTAGCCAGTGGTTTTTAAAAAAATAGGGTTTGGCTCACCATTTAAATTAGTTATTAAAAATATTACCATAGAAATTGTTCTACTTATTAAAAAACAAACAAAAAACCCCAAATTATTGCTGTTGAATCGATTCCAACTCATATGGACCCTATAGGACAGAATAGCACTGTGCTCATCCAGTCACCAAGCCTGTAATCTTTACAGAAGCGGCTGCCCCCTCTCCAGGTAGGGGTCTTGGATGTGCTCTGCAGATGATTTTATGGTCCTGAGAGTTTGTTCCCATTTCCGAGACGACTCACTTTACACCCAGCAGAATGGCAAAAGTGACCAATCCCCTCATTAGATTTCTCTCCGCCTTATTTGCATGCTCCCACTTGGTCGTTTGGTGGGAGTTACAAAAACTGGTAAGAAGAATCACATCAAGTAATTTCACTTGACTGCACCAACCTCCCAGAGGAAAGGTAAATACCATTGCCTCAAACTGCATCCTTTCCTCCTCCTTTGTCATACAGCCTGAAGTGCTGGTAGGTATCTCAGACCCAAATGCCTTTATTTCCCCAGCCATAGCATTGTGTGTGTGTGTGTGTGTGTGTGTGTGTGTGTGTGTGTGTGTGTGTGTAATAAGGGCTTGCCCAATAATTTATTTACCCAGCCATAGCATAGTCAGTGTGTGTGTGTGTGTGTGTGTGAGAGAGAGAGAGAGATAAGGGCTTGCCCAATAACTGTGTGTGCCTCTAGAGTAGAGAAGCATTTAGACTCACTTACAAAGTGTAAATACTTCTAGACAAGTTGAAGTGGACCCACTGAATGCCTCTGTAACCAGGTGTACGTGATGACTTAGCAACTTGGAAGGAAGGAGAGTCATTCTTCAGTATGGGCGCCATGGGCGTTGGACCTGCCTCAGTTGTAGGGCGCTCCCAACCCAGATAGTTTAACAAGCCCTCTGTTCTTTGTCGATGGGACTCATCCCTCTCCATTCTGATTCCAGAGGGCATGGCCCATGGACAAGGCATTTTTGTGTTCCAAGCTTTAGAAGGTATTATCATAGCCTGCACGGTCACCATGGTTAGCCCTTCAGCTTTTCAAGCGCGGGTTCTTTTAGTAAACCCTGTCCTTCGTGTCAATACTTTCTACAATGTCGGCAGGCCTCCCAGGAGGAATTAGAGCGGTACATCCAGAATCTGGAGAAGGAGAATAGAAAATGGCAGCAGGAGAAAAAGGAGGCCCAGGAAAAAGTCAAAGCCCTGAGGAAGAAAGTCAAAAGGCTTTGCGACGCCAGTGAAATGTAAGTAACCGTGGAAAGGCCACACCTGTTGTTGTAAGGCAAATATATTAGGCTTTCTTTTTCTGATGAACACTTTTAAAATATATCAAGCAACATGAGGACCTCCAGATAGGGTTTCTGATACCACTCTCACACTGTTTGACCTCACTGTAAAGCTCTCTGTGCGAGGGCTAGCTTACCTCAATACGCCTTTCTCTCCTAATGATCCAGGTTTTTTAAATACATGACATAAAAGTGGGGTTAACATGGGACTGAGAGTCAGTAGAGAAGTGACTTCTCTCTAGTCCTAACCCCACCCCTTAATGAGAACGCTACCCCCGACCCTCATTCTCCTTACCTGTACAATGAGGGGTAGTCTAGAGTTAAGCGTTCTCTCTAGCACTACGATTCTATGATGAAAGTTTAATTTATCTTGCTTGTCATCTCGAGTCTTTGAACTATGAAGAGTTTGGTCCCAGAGTGTGAGAGGTTTGGTAATATACACAGCACCTGAGTGTAACTGCCAAGTGGACTGTCTTAGTTCTCCAGTGCTGCTCTAACAGACGTACCACAAGGGGTGGTCGGGGGCGGGGGGGTGGACTTTAACAAACAGACATTTATTTTCTCACAGTTCAGGAGGCTAGAAGTCTGCATTCAGGGCACCGGCTCTAGGGAAGCTCTCTCTGTGGGCTCGGGAAGGTCCCTGTCTCTTTTCAGCTTCTGTTCCTGGGCTCCTTGGAGATCTGCACATGGCAGCCTGTGTCTTCCCCATCTGTGCTTGCTTGCTTCTTTGTGCCTACTCTGCCCATTTTAGAACTCAGAAGTGACTGTCTTAGAACATATCTTACAATGTGAAGGCCTCATCAACAGAACAAAGAAGCCCCCTTGCCCAAATGGGATTACATCCACAGGTGTAGGGATTAAGGTATACAATTTGAGGGGACACAGTTAAATCCATAACATGTCACATAATGCCCACCCCCCTCAAAAAAAAAAGTCATGTCTTTCCCACCTAGGAAACACATTCATCCTATCACATCATCCCAAAAGTCTTATCTCATTACACCATCAACTTTAAATCCAAAATGTCATCTTCTGACTCATCTAAATCAAGTATGACTCTGGGCATAGTCCATCCTGAGACAAAAGACCTCTCCATCTGTGCACCTGCGAAATCTAGAATGCAAGTTGTCTGCTTCCAGAGACACAAAGTCGATACTCCCATTACAAATGGGAGAAGCTAGAAGGAAAGAAAGCTCAGGGGCACCAAACAAGTGCAAAACTCAACAGAGCAAGTTACATTAGCTCTCCAGCCTTAACAATAATCCTCTGTTCTTTGGGACCATCTGGGCAGTGGCCCTGCCCTTTAGACTCTGGATGGCGGCCATGGTGTCCTGAGTCTGGGTAGAGGCCCATCAGCCCTGGACATGAACCCATCTGCCTTCCAGGCCCACTGGGACAGCACCTGTGTTCCCTCAGCTGTGTGAGCCGAGTTCTCCTAATCCATCTGAGTGGTGACCTCAACCCTCGTCCATGGGGTGCCTCCATTCTCCAGGTCCTTGGGTCTGGCAGCCCCACGCCCTCAGCTTGGGATGACAGCCCCATCCTCTTGGCCTACCTAAATGGCAACCTCATACTATAGAACCAAAGTGGTGGAGACCTTCTTCTTTGCAACGTGGAAGGCAGTTTTACCACCCTTTGCAATGGTGGTGGTGGGTCCACCCTTTGACATGGAGGCAACCCTGCTTGCCCTGGTTTCTCCCTCCAAGAGTTCTACTGCTTTTGGAGGACAACATATATTTGCATTCCAGTCGCTCCATTGGCCCATTTCCTGGCCTGCAGAATTGCAGGAGGCAGGCACCTTTCCTTCGTTTTATATTGTCTCTCCCTTTCTGCTACCATGGTTAAGTAGTCACAGTCTTGAATAAAAGATTGAGGGGCTTGAAGAACGTTTTTCTGAGGAATTTGTCCTTAGTTTGTACACCATTATTTTTAAGTCCGTTGTCTTTTGCCTCCATATTTTACTATAAGCAGTGAGGAGAAGCCATGCTGCTCATTTAAGATCTTGCTTAGAAATCTCCTCAGCCAAATACCCATGTTCACCAGTTAAACATTCTGCCTTCCACCAAACATTTGAACATTCTTCAGACAAATTCTTTGTGACTGCATAAAAAACATCACTTTCCCTCCAGTGTCCAATCACATGTTCATCATTTCCTTCTAAAGCCTCACCGGAAGCACACATAACATCCACATTTCTAGCTACGCTCTGTGCATGATAATGGAAGTTCTCATCACTGCTCTCAATTCTTTCGCAGCCCTTAGCAGAACTGCCCTGAATGTCCGTGATTCTACCAACAGTTTCTCCAAGGCAATCTAGGCCCTCACTCTGAAACACATCAAAATCCCCCTAGCTAGAGTGCCATTATCCAATTCCAGAACTGCTTCCACACTTCAGGTACTGCGGGAGCAGCACCCCACTCCCAGTACCAAAGTCTATCTTAGATTCTTAGTGCCGCTATAACAACGCTACCACAAGTGGGTGACTTTAGCAAACATTTCTTTTATCACAGTTTGGGAAGCTACAAATCCAAATTCAGGGCACCCGCTGTTGGGAAAAGCTTTCTCTCGCTGTTGGCTCTGGGGAAAGGTCCTTGTCTCTTTCCAGCTTCTGTTCCTGGGTTCCTTGGAGACCTTCATGTGGCAGCATCTCTCTTCCCCCATCTGTGCTTGCTTGCTTCTGTGCTTAATCTGCTCTTGTATATCTCTCATGCCCTAACTGATATGGCCTATTTGCATAACAAAAACCCCTATTCCCAAATGGACTGTATCCATATAGGTAATAGGGGTTAAGATTTATAGCACATATTGTCGGGGGACACAATTCAATCACAACGTGGGCCAAGTTGGTGTTACGATCTTCCATGACCCATCCCTGACTCCCTCCGCGCTGAACAGTGATATGTTGTGTGATTCTTCCACTGAATTGTATCAGTTATCTGCTGCTAAAATTAACTACTGTTTTCTTTACCCACGATCCTGCAATCTGGGCTCAGGTCGTCTGGGAAATTCTGCTGGTCTTGCCAGTGGTCACTCGTGTGGCCACGTTCACCTGGCGAGTCGGCTGGGGCCGGGCTCAGCTGGGATGCTGGGCTGGCTGAGCCTGTGTCTCTCCCCACGTGGCCTCCAGAGGAGACTTTTCTCTGCATGGTCTCTCCATGGTAGTCAGACTTCTTTCGTGGCGGCTCTGGACTCACAGGAGACTGTGTATGGAAACTGCCAGGCCTTCTTCGGGTTCAGACCCAGAACACACACAGCATCACTTCTATCGCATTCTGCTGCTTAACACAAGTCGCAGCCCAGGCCCAGATGCAAAGGCCGCAGACTATACAGAGGCGTGATTAACAGGAGAAATGGTTCATTGGGAGCCTCAGGGACATACTCACCTTTCAAGGACATTTGAATGACTTCATTTCTCGGTGCCAAATGATCAGTAGACTTAAGCTCTGAGTCTTGCCAGGATTGCATTTGGAGAACTTTCTGACCATCTACAGAGCAACGAGAGAAGGCAAAACACAAGCCTAGTGTAGCCGCTCCCTCTGACCAGCCATTTTGATTATGAGTGAAGTAGCTGCAGGAACACAATTAGGGAAACTAGTGCCTGGAGGGTGCTCAATATCTGAGCAAGTCCAGTAATCATCTTAAGTTATTGAACAGTGAAGGTACATTTGTGCTTAATATGTATTTTCATATAGTCAAAAAGAACAGTTTTTTCTGTGATAGCATAAAAATTAATCATGGATGTTGAAGAATAAAATTTTAGGATTTTTTTTCTCCACTTAGTAATACCTCTCTCTGCCTTTCTCCATCGCAATTTAAAGAGAAGTCCTGGGTTTCTCATATGTTCTCTGTGCTTTCCAAACAGATGCTTTGGCATTCAAGTTTTACTTTTGAACTTTTAACTAAAATCTTTAGAACATTGTAGATCTCTTTGTTCAAAAAGCACAGAGGATGTAGGGAACAGTTGCATTGACGACCGGCCTGGAGATTGCCCTTCGTGTTCACTAAGAAGTGAACAGCACCTGAAGAGCTCAGGGTTGGGGCGGGGACACCGAGGACAGAGAGCTCTTGAAAGAAGGCAGACCATCCGTAAAGGCCACCCTACGGGGTGTTTCAAGGCGGGAGGAGATGCTTTTATAGGACAGTAAAAATGCCAGTTACGCTCGCTTGTCAGTTTCCAGTGATGGAAACTTACATTTCTTAGACGACTCTGCAAAGGCAGCCCAGGGCAGTGGGGCAGAAGAGGCAGGGCCAGTCTTGTAGAGGGACCCCTGCTGCCGAAGAATCAGAAGGCTCTGTTTTAAAATGCCAACAGAGCCTGTGTCTTAAGTGGACTTTGAAGGATAGAAAGTTATTTTCATTTTGAATGAGAACCACTGGTTATGCTGATAGTCCCCATAACGCTCCTTTTTCTGTCTCGAGTTGTAACCACCTTGAGACATGCTCCGGGAGGAGGGCTGGGATAGGCTGATTTGTACTGTAAGCATGCACGAGAGGGAAGAAAAGGTGCTACATCTCTCAGGTGTAAGGGAAACTTGCATGTATATTCCAAGAAAATGACCCCAAATTCTTTGCCTAATTAGATAATAGTAGGAATGAAGCAAAACTTATAGAGCATTTAAGAATTGTTTGCATGGATATGGGTGGAATTCACTGTGGGATCATGTTTGAAAACAATCTTTGAAATTTAATTAAATTTAAATTTGATGATTATGGTTTTATAGGTGTACCCAGAAAAATGATGAAAAGGATGAGGAACATGGATTACATCTGGATGAGTCCCTTGAAATCAGGCAAATTAAGCTTAAATTAATTTTTAATATCTTACTATACTTTTAAGACCATAGGCACAAGCACACTAGGCTTATATATATAAATATAAATATATTGCTGCTTTTCTGTTAACTTTAAATAATTATGTGGGCAAGTTAACTATTTCTTTAAAAATTTTTAATTTTTAATTTTGTGAGGTTCCTGTTTTTATGTCACATTCTCCGTATAAAAAAGAATCCTGAACTTATTATTGTCTATATTACGCCTTTTTATTTTTTCTTAAATTAACTTGCAACGACAGTGTGTTTTTTTAAAAAAAATTTTTTCTTTTGTGTTACTTGAAATAAGGGTCTTACTCTACTATGGTAATTTATCTCATCTTGTTGCTCTACAAAATACAGGTTCATTAAAGAATTTTTATTATGAACCTATAAGTTTCCGTTCAGCCTTTGATAATGGAAATATGTTTTCATATACTGGTAACCAGTATATTCACTGTTAAAACAATTGTATCGTTTTTCTCACTTAATATTATCCCGTGTATGCATTTCCAGGGAGTCCCTGGGTGGCACATAGAGTTAAGTGGTCAACTACTAGTCAAAAGGTTGGCAGTTCAAACCCACCCAGAGGCACCTCGGGAGACAGGCTTGGCGATCTGCTTCTGAAAGCTCACAGCCTTGAAGCCCCTCTGGAGCAGTTCTATTCTGTACACGTGCGGTCACCGTGAGTTGGGTTCGACGTGAAGGCAATTGACAAGCACATACACATTTCCATCCACATCCTGGCCTGCGGCTTTGTTTTTTAACCACCCCACGATTGAGCATTTTCTTTTGTTTGCACTTTTTAGCTTTTTATAAAAAAAATTTCTATGAACATCTTTGTAGAGGTTACTTTTTTCTTTGGATTATTTCTTTGTAGTGTGCTTCAAAATAGAATTACTGGGTTGAAGGAAGAGGGCTGTTCTTAAAAGTGTATTCATGCAGTCAGATCGCACTCCACCACCCTTACAAAGAAGTGAACCAGTACTGGGCCCTCACCTGTTTCTCAGCCAGCATTCCTACCAGACACTCGCCTTCTTCCTCTGATCACTGTTAGAGCAAAGCGCGCCTGTGAGTCTGTGTGCTGTGTGGTAACCTATCAGGCATGGAGTTACTCTACCAGATGTTATGTAAGGCATTGTGTTGGGCATGATTCCAAAGCTGACCTGGCTTCAGCCTTTATGATCTCACGGGGTTGAATATTGTTTAAGAAGTGTTTTCCTTCTTTCTAATATTTCCAGAAACTCACTTGCAAATGAGAAAGCAAAGCTGGAAGCACGCATAAAGAAAGGAGGGCAGTCTTATGTGGCGGTCCGGGAGCGATTCATGGATGCAGAGGTGAGTGAGCCCCAGGCTGGTGTACTCACGGCCCTTGGGGACTGACAAGGTTACAGGATGTCCTTTGTTTGTTTTTCTGCTTTTTAAATCACTCCTGAGTCATCACAAGAAGCCCTAGTGACACTGTTGGGTAAGTTCTAGACTGTTGACCCCAAAGTCAGAGGTTCAAACCCACCAGTTGATTCAGAGGAGCGAGACGAGGCTGTCTGCGCCCACAGAGATTACAGCCTCAGGAATCCTACATAGGGTCGCAATGAGTGGGGATGGACTCAACGGCAGTGGGTTGGGAGACCACCACAGCACTGGCAAAGAGTGTGGAAAGGAAGAACTCTTCTTTCACCCATAACCTGGCCTCCCCAAACCACCACTCTTGTCCCTCGCCTCTTCCTTTTTTGGAGTCCCAGGTTGGTCCCTCAACTACTAGCTGAAAGGTGGCAGCTTGAGCCCACCCAGAGGTGCCTAGGGAGACACATCTGGCAATCTGTTTCCAAGAGATCAGTTGGGAAAATCTGTGGAGCGGTTCTCCCTCCAGACGGAGTAACCGTGAGTTGGCAGCAAGTGGACAGCAGGAACAACTTCCTTCCCTCCCCCAAAGAAATATACTTGTGTACTATTTGAGAAACTGCTGGATCAAAAGTGGAAACCGTGAGGTCTAGGTATGCTCTATGAAACATGTTTAGTCTCTGAAATATGGTTCTCTCTGCTACTCGACTTGACAAGTGAATGATGATTATTGGTGTATGTCTCTTGAGTATTCTCAGAAACAAAGAAAAGGCTTAGTTCATGCAGACCCACAAAACAGGAGGCATTTTGGTCACTTCATAAGGAAGGCTTTTGATCATGCAGCTGCTTCTAAGAAGATAAAGGGAGGTGGGGAACCCAAGTTCCTGCTGTACTTATCTCGTGCTGTTATAACAGATACCACAAATGAGTGTCTTGAACAAGGCAGGATTTCTTTTCTTAACTATTTAGGAAACTAGAAGTTCATCTAAACTCAGGCACTAGCTCTCAATGCTAAAGATAGTGCTATCTTTCTACTCCAGATAAAAATCCATGTGTCCTATTATATAGTGCTGCCGTAACAAATTCCACACTGGGTAGCTTTAATAGCAAATTTATTTTCTCAAGGTTTAGCAGGCTAGGCATCTCAATTCAGGGTGCAAACCCTACGGGAAGGTTCTCACTTTCTGTCAGCTCCAGAGGAAGATCCTTGTCTCTTTAGCTTATATTTCTTCTTATTTTGGAGATCTCCATGTATCTTGGTAATGATCTGACACGTCTTGCTTAATTGCTTGTTTAATCTCCTTTATGTCTCAAAAGAGATATACTCAAACATACCCTTCACTAATCCTGTTTCGCTAATGAGCGAAGAAAACTCATTCTCAAATGAGTTTTTATAATTGTAGACATAGATTTAAGTTCTACACGACATGGTTTTGAGGGACACACTTCAATCCCTTCCACACTTTGGTATCCCCTCAAATCCTCGTCTTTGATGTATGGAAAACACATTCACTCCATTATATAATCCAAAAAGTTTTAATCCCAAATAAAAAATTTCTGTTTCTGAATCATCTAAATCAAATATGAATGGGAATTTAGATGCAGTTCATTCTTGAACAAAATTCCTCTTTATCTGTGATATTACCTATTTCCAGAGTATGATGGTGAAACAGGCAGGAGGTGTAGACATTTCCATTATAAATGGAAGAAATTGAGGAAAAACAAGGATTACAGGCAACAAGCAAGTCAACCCCTAGCATAATTTACATTAGCTCTCAAGGCTTGAAAAGAATCCTATTTTTTGAGCCCACGTGTACAATGGCGCTGTCTTCCAGACTCTGGGCTTTGACCACACTGCCACTCTGGCCCTCAACTCTGCCTTCCAAGCCCTCTGGGATGACAACCCTCTCCCCTCTGCTTTTGGCAGTCCCGTTCTCCAGTCCATTTGAGTGGCAACCCCAGCCCTTGGGCCCAGGAAACCCTGTTCTGCACCTTGGGCATGGCAGTCCTACCTCCTCAACTTAGGGTGAACTTACCCATCCCCCTGGCACCCCTGAACAGCAGCTTAACACTCCAAAACTGAGTTGGCAAAGATCCTTCCAACTCTCTGAAACCTAGGAGGCGGGCCCCACCTCTGAGATCCAGGGTGCTATAGTCCTGCCTTGGAAACCGAGAAGTCCCTGCTTCCCGGCAGTTCTGCTGATCTCAGAGCTGCTCCAGGGACGGCTGTTATCTTTTCTTGGAGGACAACAAATGCAGCTCCTTTGGCCTGTACCGTTTCATGAGGCTGGTTTTGTTCTTTCCTTTCAGTTTTTATACCAACTCCTTCGGTCTAAGCTGATGGGTTTCCCGCTGTGGTAGTTGGTTATACCCATCAGTCACAGATCATTTCTTTAGCAAAAGATTGTGTAAGCATGTCTTTGGTGGGCATTCTAGGACACATATCCTTAGTTTGCACAACAGAGTTTTTCAGATCTTTGAGGTTCTGTTTTCCTTTTGCACTGTTCATTTTTCAGACCACCTCTTTCCATTCACATTTTACTATAAGCAACAAGGAGAAATCACATGAGTCCTTTAAGGTCTTGCTTAGAAATCTCACCAGCCAGATAGTGGAACTCAGATATAGGGTTTAGGATTCATAACCTATGGGTTTTGGGGAGCACACTTCAATTGATAACAGCATCTATACTCTGACCTAAAAAATGAGACTTGTGTGCATCATGACACTTCATCAAAAGAGGGAAAAAAGAACCCACAGACTGGGGGACTTTTCAGCAATGACATACCAGACAAAGGACTAATTTCTAAAAAGCTGTAGAAAATGTGAACCCCTATACAAGAAAAAGATGAATCATCCAATTGAAATTGGGCAGAGGACAAGAACATTGTTCACCAAAAAAGACATCCAGGGACTAACAAATATATGAAGAAATATTTGTGACCACTAGCCATTCGAGAAATGCAAATCAAAATAGCAATGTCCTCACATTGATAATGATAAGAAAACTTTAAGAAAAAAACAAACGCAGAAAATAAATGCTAGAGAGGGTGCGTAGAGATTAGAGCCCTCCCTCCCTGCTGGTAGGTGTATGAAACTATAAACAGTGAAAGGTGATATGGTGCATCCTCAAACAATTGGGAATAGAGATACCATCTGACCAGCAATCCCTTTACTTGATACATACCGGGGGAGAGGGGCCAGAGCACACCAAGGAACAAAGCAGGCTCAGATTAACAGGAGAACTATTCACAATAGCCAGAAGACAGAAACATCCAAAATGCCCATCCATGGAAGGAGTAAGTAAACTTCGGTAGATCCGCACAGCGGAACATCCTACACATCACTGAAGAGTGATGGTGACCCTGTGAAACACTTCATCACATGGATGGATGTGGAGACCATTATGCTGCGTGCAGTTAGTCGGACACAAAAGCACCTTTTGAAAACAAAGCACCAATGTGAGAATCACTGCAGGCAGTGTAAAGGGCCTGGTTTTAAGCCAGATGTCAGGTGCTTTATTTAGTATTTTATTAAAAACATGCCCCTGAGACTTTGGAAGCTGAGAACAAATGCTGTGGAACTTTTAAGTAGGAAGCAAGCTGCGCTGG